GGGAAATGGCCTCAAGTTGCACCAGGGCAGGTTTAGGTTGGACATTAGGAAAAATTTCTTCCCCAAAAGGGTTGTCAAGCATTGGAATGGGCTGCCCAGGGAAGTGGTGGAGTCCCCATCCCTGGAGGGATTTAAAAGCCAGGCAGAGGAGGTGCTTACGGACATCTTAGGGATGATCTTAAAGGTTGTTTCCAACCTAAATGATTCTGTGATTCTAATAGGAAGGAAAGGGAAGCACAGGACATGTGTCCAGTATAAAGCAGATCAAGTCGACCCATCAATGGCCGTTAATGATCAGAGACATCCCAGTGGCCCAAGCCTTCTGAATGGTCCCTGACTCCAAATAAAACCTGATAAGAAGTAGAAGAATTGGTGATGCAGATGCCAGGAGGATTATTCATGTAAGAGTAAAAAAAAAATTTAAAAATCTTTATAAAATGGCCCATTGCTACCATACAAAGAGCAACTGTGTACATCTAGAGGGCAAGGTGGTGATTCGGGGACCCTTTGCTGTCTGATACTACGTGCTCTCAGGAAGCAGGGGGATTTGTGATACTATAAAACATTTTTGATGCTACAAAACATATTTTTGAGTTACAAAACAACTGTGTCCAGCTTCTCCGGTGCTGTGGCTGGCCCTAACTTGTTCCCCTGTCAGTGGAGAGACGATGCCTCTCCCTGCTCTCCGGACTGGATACCACAGAAGAGCTGATCAAAGAAAAAAAAAAGAAAATAATATAAACCAAAAGTAACCTTGTGCTCCTTTATGATCCCAAGCGATTAGGGGCTTCATACTCAGTTTAACCCAGGTCTTGCAGCTGCAGCTGTGCCTGCCTCACACCAGCGTGGTGCCAGCGCTGGCTCCTTTGGCAGGAAGGTCATCAACAACCATCACCTCTGCTTGTCGGTATCTTCATGAAAAAGTCTTTTTTCCAGTTTAATTTTTCCAGTCATTTGTTGTCTATGAATAAATAGTTAAACCACCTGAACAGCCAACTCTGAGCTCAAAGTGCGGTGAGGTGAAGCACGCATTTGTACCAGACAACATGTACTTTCAGAAGGAGCCACAAGACAATATTTTTAAAATTAATTTTATTCTTTACTTTTAGGTGTCTCCTTTACTATCAACAGTTTACATCTGGAATTCCAAAAACTTTAGAAAATCAAAAAAACTACAAGAGCATTGGGCTGGTGCCTCTTATCATGGAAAAAAATGTTTCTGGAGTAAAAAATGCTTTTCTACAGTAAGCGTGGAACTGTGTGTTTTACATTAATAAGCCGCAGAAGCAAGCAGCAAGCAAAAGGAGAGAAGTTAGCTCACCTCCCTCACGCGGGCAATCTTGTCTGTTGTCTTCTGGTGTGGTACGCCTTTGCTTCTAACATCATCCTTTCGGTAAAGACTAGCTAGAAGATTCACTGATGCAATTTTGAAGTCTTGCTTTGACCGATTCCAGTGTGGTATTTCCAACTGTAAAGCATACATCAATGTATTGGTTTATATATATACATTTATATGTATAGGTCTGTTGGTCTACATATACATGTGTGTATATGCACAGGATCCTTCTTACTTGATCATTCATTCAGTGTTTCATTCAGATCACATTTTAAAGCTTTTCTCTGACATGAAGACTAGAAAGATTTATTTTTTTTTGCCTTACTGATTTCTGACACTTCATTGCTCAGATCACTAAAAGTGCTCTCCAGAAATGCTCTCATAAATTTCTTTCCATCAATTTTTGTCCTAGATCTTTCCCAACCCGGCTTATGCCCCTTGTGTTTCTTTAAAAAGACAAAGTTGCCAACAGCTCATGTGAGCTTTAATGATTGCAACGATTATTCCACCCTAATCTGTCAAGTGAAGTACTCTCCACCTTGTTCGGCGACAGTCCTCTCCCTTTTTTTCCTCCTACATTTCTAACCCACCTACTGGCACATTTTTGAGGGGCTTTTTCTTACATGCCTTCCAGCTTCCAGGCCTTTCCCCTTGGGTCGCTCCTCTACTCACTCTATGTTTTATCCCCAGAATAACGTGTACTACAACCACAGTTCAACACACCAATTTCCACTCAGATTTTTCGCAGCTGTGCCTCTTCGCTGCAGATTGGCATGCTTTCCTAACTGAACTCTTGGCTCGTGTCTCTATTGCCTTCTTGTGACTGTTCAGTGGGACTTCACCTTATGCTGCACGCGGTCACAAGCGCCCTGTGAGTCCCACCGGTCAGGTGCCCGAAAATGATGTGAACTGGAAGAAACGTGCTTTGAGTCACCTGACCGATGATTCACCAGGTGGCTGTTTGGATCTGCAAGAGCGTATAATATTAAAGTTTTGTGTGCGAGTGGGGTTCTGGGATGTTTAGGCTGTTTCTGTATTTCTGAGCCTGCTCCTCGTTCTTTTGTATTGCAGCATATGGTGCCTGGGTCGTAATCAGCCCAGACGGCACACAAATACTCCAGCCTCCAATCCCTGGACCATCTGGATAACAACTGGTTAATTGACAACCCTAATGTCATTTTAAGCTCAGTACGGTTAAAATAGTGTCGAGTCGTCTTCCACAAGTACTCTTATCTATTACGTTATTATCTGCCTGTATGTAATCATCTTTGACTGAGACCTTTCCCTAGCCCTTTATGTTCAGACTATGTCTAAATCTGTCCATATAGCTAAAACTCCCATCTTCTCAAATCTCAATTACGGCAGCATCCTTTCCTTTGGCCTTGGAAAATATAACCTTGTCTTATTGAGAACGCTGCTACCAGACCATTTTTCTTAGTCTGTCATTTTCGCCGTGTTATTCCTCTCTTTTCATCCCTGTGCTGGCTCAGCCTACTCTATCATGTCGGTCCTTACCTACGTGTCTTTACTTTGAAGGCCTTGGTAGCCTATCTTCACCTTACTTGCCATTTCCATTCACTGCTGAGATCTGACTGCAGCTCCAGGCAGCTCACGATGCCAGTTTTCACAGCCCGCTCGTAACACATTTAAACACGTTCTTTTGTGCATGCGTCTGGCTGCCTTTTATTTCCAAGGATCCTAAAAACAGCCCAAAAGTTACTGATCATTTTCTTCAAAACTCTCCTTAAGACTTTTCTTTCCTGTAATGTCTGCAATACGGTGCCACATTTCTTTATGCTGCCTCCCCTGCCGGTATTCCTCAGTTCTCCCATTTCATACTTTGTAAAGCTATCAGGGCAGGATCACTCTTGGTGTTGGTTCTGATCCGTAACAAGGTCTTGTAGCGCTATGGCAATGCAAATAATAAATGTGCATGTGGAACATGCCAGGGACAACCAGGCACAACAATTATGAGATTGATGACAACAAAGTGCAATTTGGGAGCATAACCATACCTGATAATAATAATACTAACTTGTTTTCCTGTTATTCTGGAGAGTAGGGGGGCAAAACTAAGTGGAGGTGGGGAGTCTGCATCTTTAAATCAAGCCCATAGGTCAAGTTAAAGATGATTTATAACCACCTACCTCTCAACAATTTTTGTTGGTTATAGTTGCTGTTGTGACAGATAAAATGGAAAAGACAATGTAGTGTAAAACATATAGTACATACATACATAGGTATGTCTGTATGTTCACATATGCACATTTTTTTTCTTT